TAGGGGGATTTCGATTTTACTCAGAATACAGAATGCATTTTTTCTCGTTTGCAATAACTTTCCATTTCAGAAGTTGGTAGGTCCCAGTTTGCTGGACAGTGTCCTAATTGGTTCGGCCTGCAGTGTGAGAATTAACAGGAAAATACAACAGGATATTCCCTTGGACTTTGTATCTGCCCGTTAGCTTAGCTCTAATTTCAGTTTGCTATCTAAAACGTATGTAGATATGCAAGTGTTTATAATTTAATGGTGTCATACAATTCATGAACTTTCCTTCTTACAGGTTAGGTGAAAACCAGGCCCTACATCTTAACAAGATCAAAGCCTTTGCACAAAACGTGTAAGTCCACAGTTGAAAACATGGGTATATTCTGCTGTGTAAGTAATAACTACCTGCTCACTTGCCGAGGAATGAGGAATAAATAACGATAAGCTGTTTGCCATTATCGTACTATATGCTAGTACATGCATGCACGCACGCACACACGATACATGATATAGTCACATGCATATAACAATTAACTCTAGTGCAAGTAGAGATGGCAGATAGTGCCAGCGAAATCTCACATCATCTCAAAGAGTCGTATGCGCCATCCGGTAGGGAAGTTGTCATGGCCAATACCGTGCCATCATCATACTTCTATGAATAATTATCTGTAATGTCCCTTCTATCACCATAGTAGGCTAATATGTTAAGTTATTTTTGCTGATTAATTTTAATAAAGCTCCACATCTAGACTAATCTAGACATCTAACTTGCTTACAGCTCTCTACATGAAGTCAGACAAAGTGAGGTTAGGCGACAGTGTTTCGAAGCATGGGATGTAAGTACATAACCCGTGCAAACATTATAGTTATGCTGGTCAGGCAAGTATATATCATTATTACAAATGTATTACTCCTAAATCATGAAAATTTGATTGCTTCAAATTATCTAATAATACAGCCAATATCGAAATATGTGTATTTCAACCCTAATTATATTAATCTTACCATATAAATGTATATCTCTTGCATTATGTTTTTTTCACAGACAAAATTCATAACGTGTGTGTGTGAGTGCGTGTTTATGTATGTATGTGTGTGTGTGCGTGCGACGTGCGTGCGTGCGTTTGTATGTATCTTTGTATTACCAAATGATCTTCTTGAAAGTCGATAAGTAAAAGAGCTATCAAGAGGGTGGATTTTGCTAAAGTAATTCCTGCTATGTAATTCTCTAGCAAATGACTCATTTTAAAATGCTGCAGTTTTATGATTTTGGAGTTTATATTAATTTTCATGTTTTTATGTTTGCTAAAAAATTGTAAATTTTCAATTGTTTAATTAGAGCGAGAGAGATAGGGAAGCAGGGTAAAAAATACACAGGAGCGATGAGTGATTCGCTCTTCAAACCGCTGAAATCGCTCCCGTGAGGCTCAAAATATCTCCCGTAAATTTTTGACGAGAGCTATTTTTTCCCCAGACTTTTGAAAAAGGGCTCCCGTGGAAATAAAGTAATCTTTTCCCTGTAGGGAAGGTATGAATATAAGAAAGGGGAGAGGGAGATATTTAGCAATATGAATTTTGTTTTTCTTTCAAGATTCCCGACCAGGTGAGAGCAGCTCCATCCAAGCCTGAGCCTGGTGCAAAGTTTGAAGTGCTGATGAAGGTATCAGATTTTATCACGGACCACTAGCGTGGCTCTGTAATCTTTCAGTATGGCGGAAAGAAAATTGCAAAATCAATGCTGCCCTAGCATAGCATAATTATATCTTTTATCTAAAATTATATACCATGGTACTATACTACAGTAAAATGTGAGATCACGAAACTGCGAGTTGGAAGAGTTGTGTGGCCTCCATAATTTCCATCATTTTTTTAAGTTTGAACGAAAAACTTGATTTTTGACTCCCACTTCTATTCTGCTGTCAGAGACTGATCTTGGATTGCTGGCAGAGGAGTGCATTGTTTTTCCTCTAATAACGTAACAGAACTTCCAAAAAATAGCTAGTATAGTAACAATAATACGGCATTGATTGGTCCACGCAATCTTATCTAGGTGTTCCTATTGCCGACACACTGTTACATGTATGTGAAAGTTTTATTCTATTGTTTCTTTATTCTAAATTGCATTCACTATTATTTTCACACAGCATGAAAATCAGAAGCAACTCAAGCTGGATCGTGTTCAGCTGGATGCAGCAGTCCTTGCCTCAATTGACAGCATCTACAACTACAAGTGCATCGTGTCTGGTGGGGAATGCACATTTCTTATGGGATTTGGTGTAAGTTCGTTATACAGACATGAGTTTTAATTGAAATTAATCTCGTGAATGTATGTGTCTCAATAATTAGATAAAATTGAATATATATATATAGCTTAAAATTAGGGGACCATTGTCAGAAACAAAGTTAGTCTTAACATTAGTCTTAACCATTAACTTCCTCTCATAAACCATATAAACCGTAGACAGAAACATCGTAAAGTTACAAGAACGAAAAAACCTCGGAAACTTCATCTTAACTTTACGAGAGCTAAGACTCTCTCGTAACTTTAAAATTAAGATGAAAATAATGCATTTACACTAAGAATTGCGATTATAGTGATATTATGTTAAGTAATATATACCCAGATACTAATTTATTTCAGCGATCACATGTGTACAGGAGGTTACCTAATGGGAAATGGATGAAGCTGGACATAAACGTTGAACTTCCAAGAGAAACACTAGTGCTTGCTGAACTAGTGAACGAGCTCCGAGGCGAGGTATTTGTAAGACTATATTAAGCAGCATACTCAATTCGGGCAGGTACCTATCTGGGGGGGGGGCACTCCCTACAGAATAGGGTAGGTATGTGCCACTTGAGAGATGGAATTGGGGGGCTCCGGTACTAACAGCACATCCAAATTGGGGTCTCCGGATCTAGGGTTTGCTGGAAAGCATGATGCTCCGGAACTGGGCATGTTTGCGAGAGGGGGTCTCCGGAACATGCAGAAAAAAATAGGACATATGCGCAGAGATGGAAAATTTGTGAAAAGGGGGGTCTCCGGAATGGGAAATATGTGAAAAGGGGGGTCTCCGGTGCGGAAAAAGTAGGATCTATGCTCTGGGACGGGAAATATGTGAAAAAGGGGGGTCTCCGGTGCGGAAAATGTAGGACCTATCCTCCGGGACGGGAAATATGTGAAAAAAGGGGGTTTCTAGTGCAGAAATTTTAAGGTAAAAAAGGGGGTCATAATCATGGCGCATACCTACCATGCAATATATAGGGTGTCGCTCCCCCACCAGGGTACCATATATATTTCGTATACCAACTGTGTTGGTGTTATATATGTCTATATGTTGGTATTTGTGTGTTTTGTGTCTTGGAAGCAAAAATAATGGACTAACCACATGGACCAACAGTAATGTTAACAAATGTCCCCTTGAACTGGAGTTGCCAAAATCGAGCATCACGTTAATTTTAATGGTAGACCAGAATGTGGCAAAAACATTGGTACATGGTAAAATCTCAAAACAGTTCAAAGCAGTGAAATAGAAGAACAAGTACTAACTTATATTAATTACCATAACCTCTTTTTCAAGAACACACCGCAGTTTTTTTTTAAATAAACGTGTTCAAAAACAACAGTTTTCTTTTCAAGAACGCTAGAGAAGGGAAGTGAAACACGAAAACAATAAGAAAGAAACACATATCAGGTTGTCTGTCCAATTATAGAACACTATATGTATATCATGATGGACTGTTCACAAGTCTAAAAAAAACAAGTGCCGCAGAGCGACAGTGCTCAACTGACGTGTACTGTAGCCGGGTATTCTTCTGATAAACTCACTGGCAACCGAATCAAGTGCGCCCTCCCGCCACCGCGTTCGCGCTCCAAGCACATCTAGGATACTACCAGGAGCGTATAATGGCAAAGGAGTAAGACAGCGATTTGGTACTGATTTCACTACATTTTTGTCGTACGAGTTCGATGTGAATAAAAATACAAATGTATACAAACATGAGCTACTTTTGTTCACTGGTCCTTATGTAACAACCACGTGTTACAGAGTGCTCCCCCTCCCCCTCACGCGCGACGCGGGCTGCCGCGCGCGGTCGACAGAGGCATGACAGAGGCATGACATTACGGCGCCGCCCCTAGCAACCACCTAGCAACCACCGCGATCAATACGGCTTCTGTGCCATTTGTTCTGCGGCGTTGCCCCTAGCAACCACGAGCGATCAATACGGCTGCTTGCCGAACGAGCGGGGCAATCCAAGATGGCGGCCCGCCCACGCCGTCACACGCTGCCGGGGCTGCTATGTCACGACCTACCACGCACCCACGCCAGCTGGTCAGGGGATTAGCACCACCTTCCCTAATTAGCGGCGTGTACGTGACGTGATTAGCGGTACCGGCCATAGCGTGGATGCGAAGCCCGGTGATGTCCTCGCGGCTACTGCAGAGCGACTTTAGAACCGCTCGACCGGGGGGTTTTCGCCGGGTGGCGGGCCGGCTGGATTACATGCGTTAAATGCACCGTGAAGGGCTGTTAGCGCCTGGGACGGCGGTCATGTTGACCGCTCGTGACGCGTTTGCGTGGATAGGCGGAGCCACCTCCTGGACGATGGCACGGCAGAATGGCGGGTCATTCCCGTTGGGGGCCGCCACCGTCCAGTGCGAGCAGGGTGAAGCCAAGCGAACGCGGATGCGCCGGACGCGGTGGTTGGTGAGACATGGCACGTGGTTGACCATGTGCCACGTGCGTGGGGGGGGGGCGCCTATAAAAACAGATGCGCGAGCTGTCTCGAGGAATTCGCTCCCGACTCCAGACGCGACCGCCTGTGTATTTGTAACTGTCAGGAACCAAATTAAACATCAGTCATGGTATATATTCTCTGACTTGTCTTTGTCTATGTCTTTTGGTTACGCATACGACATCATAATCTACAACTGTATAGTAGTGCTAAAAGCGTCGCTACATATTTTGATTCCGTGGAGCGGTCGTTTCTGAGTTACTGTGGGCACTTCCCGCGATGCTAGCCACTATTACGATCACGTGCCGTCATCACAAATAGCATCGCGTTACCATTACTCTACTTTCATCAACCGCCGTAGCCGACGACTTCATAGCCACGCCGTACCGTGGCCGGGTATGTAATGACTAGCCTAGCCGGATAGTTAAGTTATATTCTAATTCAGTTAGTCACTACCGTATTCTCTAGCTACATAGCTTTTCAGTAACCGCTTCTATATTACTGATTCTCATTCATTGCTTCTATATCAAGTACTTCTCCACAGTCGCCCTTGCCGAATTGTGTGCGTCGTGTATGCATGTAGTGCGCGCTCAGGCAGCTGGCATTGCTAATTGCTAGTTGCTGTTACTCCGTTCTACTATTCAGTGACCTCTAGTGTGTGTGCGCCTAGGCGTGTGTGTGAGTGTATACACCAGCGACGCGTGACTGCGCGCGTGCGTCAGCGCGTGTGTTTGTATACACCTGCGACGCGTGACTGTGCGCGTGTGTGTATACACCTGCAACGCGTGTGTGCGAGCCCGTGTGCGTGCGCGTGTGAACGCCGGCGTGTATGAACGTGTGTAACGCCTGTATGCGCACGTGTGTGTGCGTGTGTAGCGCCTGTGTGTGCGTGTGTAACGCCTGTGTGAGCGTGCGTTTATACGCCTGTGTGCGCCCGTGTGTGAGCGTGCGTTTATATGCCTGTGTGTGCGTGCGTGTGGAGCGCCTGTGTGCGCCCGTGTGTGCGCGTGTATACGCCCGTGTGTGCGCGTGTGAAGCGCCTGTGTGTGCGCGTGTGGAGCGCCTGTATACGCCCGTGTGTGTGCGTGTGAAGCGCCTGTGTGTGCGCGTGTGGAGCGCTTGTATACGCCCGCGTGTGTGCGTATGAGCGCCTGTGTGTGCGTGTATCAGCGCGTGAATAATACGCCTGCAACGCGTGTGCGTGACGCGTGTGCGTAACGCGTGTGCGTAACGCGTGTGCGTAACGCGTGTGCGTGTTCGTAATGCGTGTGCGTGTGCGCAACGCGTGTGCGTGTGCGCAACGCGTGTGCGTGTGCGTAACGCGTGCGCGTCAGCGCGACGCGTGCGTGCGAGCGTGCGTGTGTGCGCATACGCCTGCGACGCGTACGTGCGAGCGAGCGTGCGTGTGTGTGCATACGCCTGCGACGCGTGCGTGCGTGCAAGCGTGCTTGTGTGCGCATACGCCTGCGACGCGTACGTGCGAGCGAGCGTGCGTGGGTGTGCAAACGGCTACGACGAGTGCGTGCGTGCGTGCATGTGCGTCGGCGTGTGTGAGTACACGCCTGCGACGCGTGTCTATGCGTGTGGGCGTGTGCGTGCGTGTGTGTGTGTGTGTGAGTACCTGCTTTCGTAACGCGTGTGCGCGTGCATGTGTGTGCCTGACGGGGACAGCCTTAACCCCGCTTGTGTCTGACGGGGACAGCCTTAACCCCGCTTGTGACTGTCGGGGACAGCTTAACCCCGCTTTTTCCAATGGCGACCCCGCCACAGTACGATATCGCCGACCTCGCACACGTATTCAGCGAGTCGTTACGCCCAACCGTCGAATCAGCAGCTGCTACATTCCAGCATGGACTACGTGTCGCCGAAGCTCGGACTTCGGTTCCGCGATTCACTGGCGATAACGCGCCACTTTCGATTACGTTCGACGACTGGCTCAGTACTCTGAATTGGAGACAGTTAGAATTGGGTCTTGACGCTACGTCGTTGCGCGTGTTTGGTTTATCGAAGCTCGGAGGACACGCTGCTGAGTTTTCTCGCCGCCTCCTTCTTGAGAGGCCGCAATGACTTGGGAACAAATCACAGAACAGCTGACTAAGCGCTTTCGTGATCCGCTGCGTGAAGTAGACGCGCAGAACGCGCTTAAGAATTTCCAGCAGAATAGTGGCGAAAATATCCGCCCGTATGGCGATAGGTTATTGACTCTCGCAATGCGAGCGATTCCGGGCGAGCAACTTTCAACGGCTGACACGCAGGGCCGTCTCATCGACATTTTTTTGGATGGACTAAGATCGGTCCATACACAGCGACTGTTGCTTCATTGGGCCCCTGCGACGCTCACAGACGCCATCGACTTGGCAGCAGACAGAGTCATCTCTAGTCGCAAGACGACAAAACCGGAGCGACGCGTTCGCTGATCCCTATGACACGTCGGAGCCCATGGATATCAATACCATACAACACCCTACGCCATCGGAGCTTTTGTTCAGAGAGGTACGCGGCTTACGTACGCTCATCACCCAAGCAGTGCCACAGCCACAGCCCATGAATGAATCATCACGGGACATCACACGACAACCCCCGCGTCAACAACGTTCTCAGGCACCACCACCGCGTGACGATCAGCTCAGATCTCGCCAGTGGCGACCCCCCCCCACACGACGCGATCAGCGCCCACCTGTTCGTAATCAGGCTTATCTGCCACCAGCTTCGCGACAACGGGCACCATCTCAACCATCAGCACCGCCGCCTACCCAAGACCGACGCAACGCTCGTTGCTATGCGTGCAACCAACTAGGCCACTACTCGCGCGACTGCCCTCTTCGCCGCCGCTTAGAGGATTTTCACCTACGCCCACGCGAAGCAATCGCACCGCCATACCCTCACAACTTTTAGGCACGCATGAATCTGCTGCGTGCGCATCACCGACTACCGCTACATCTTTAGCGCCAACGTGCCATGTCAAAGTCGGCCCACTCTCACTCACAGCCCTCTCGACACTGGCAGCGATTGTACGCTTATCGATTTTACTGCATGGCTCCATTTACCCCAGCACATACGGACGGCTGCTAGTTTCAACGCCGTCTGCGCATCAGACGCCATGCTTCTTTCTGTCACAGGCGATAAACTACACCTTGTAGGCACCGCCACCTTACGCATTCTACTGGGACGGGTAACCGCCCTCCATAGGTGCTACATACTTCAGGATTTAAGGCAACAGTTCATCATCGGAGCTGACTTTCTATCGGCTCACCGAGTAAACATCGACTTCAATAGAGGAGTGCTCGCACTCGGTAATAGTGTAGTCACTTTTAAACTCCGTCGAGGCAGACGACTCCTCCCCATCCCTCAACTCGCTTTCATTCATCGTCCGACCGTGCTGCCCCCTCATTCGGGCTGACAGTGTTTCTGTCGCGTCCCCCGCCATTTCCGCCCGGGTACGCTGCTTTTTGTTCAAGGATCTCCAGCCTTTAAATTGTTTCGTAGTGATCCCCATCTCATCTTACTGCCGTCTTTAGTCGAAGTCACAGAGCAGCACACAATTCTCTGCCGGCTAGAAAATCGCTCAGATCAAGCAATCTCGCTACATCGTAATGCCGTTGTAGCAATAGTTGAAGCCACCACCCCTCCCCACATACAAGTCATCACGTCCACGCCTAACGAGGACAATGCATCCGCACATGATGGTGCAACCCCGCCCTTCGATTATAATTCACTCGTCGATCACGTCCAGGATTCTCGCCATCGGTCAACGCTTCTGAAATTTTTACGCCAGCATGAAAGCTCGTTTGCACATACAGATTCTCAACTAGGGTGTACGCACCTTTGCGAATTCCAGATTCACACTGGAGAGGCTCGGCCGTTCAAAACAAGGCCTTACCGCATGGCTCCAGAGCAACAAATCATCGTTCAGCAACAGGTTGACAAACTCATGCAGAATGGGATAATTCGCCCCTCCATGTCACCTTGGTCATCCGGCGTACTTTTGGTTAAGAAAAAAACTGGCGAGTATCGAATGTGTGTTGACTATCGACGATTAAACTCAGTCACCGAAGGGGACGCCTACCCTCTGCCTCTCATCGAAGACGTACTACAAAGAATAGGAAAAGCTACAATATTCACGACCCTTGACCTTAAGAGTGGTTACCATCAGATTGCCTTAGCGGAGAAGGACGTTCCAAAGACATGTTTTGTAACGCCCTCCGGAAGCTACGAATATTTAAGAACTCCATATGGACCAAAGAACGCACCCGCCCACTTTCAACGTATCCTCGATTACGTCCTGCAAGGACTTCGTCACAAATGCGCACTCGCCTACATCGACGACATCTGCATTTATTCACCGGACTTTGAAACTCACATGTCCGACTTAGCCGAGGTTTTTGCCAGATTCGACGCGGCTAACCTCAAGATGCGCCCCAGTAAATGTGCGTTTCTACGCCAATCCATTAATTACCTGGGTCACGTCATAACCCCAGGTTGCGTCAAACCCGACCCAGAGAAGATCTCTGCGGTGGAAAATTGGGCCCCCCAAACACACCCACAGCAGTTCGGCAGTTTTTAGGATTCACCAATTACTATCGTAAGTTTATCAAGGGCTATGCCGATATTGCCCATCCATTGACTCTACTCACACACAAGAGCACACCCTTCGTGTGGTCAGACGAGGCACAGACTGCGTTTCAGTCTCTTCGTAAGTGTCTCACAGAAGCTCCCATTTTGGCATTGCCTGATGGAAGTCGACCGTTCCGCCTTTATTGCGACGCATCCGGCTACGCCTTCGGAGCAGTTCTCACGCAGATAGACGAGCGAGAACAGTAGCACCCAGTGTTTTATCTCAGCAGACAGCTGACTAAGACGGAACAACGCTGGCCTACAATAGAGCGCAAATGCTTTGCGCTGGTACACGCGCTACAGAAATTCCGGCACCTCCTCATCGGTGCCGATTTTGTAATACTTAGCAATCATAAACCGTTCAAGTATTTATGGGAAGCAAAGGCACTGCGTAATGCCAAACTCCAGGGGTGGGCTCTGTACGTCTCGGGCTTTCCTTCATGCCGGCTAGAGTACACCACGGGCAAGTCGAACGTCCAAGCGGATGCGCTTTCTCGTTTGCCTCCCGAGCCGTCTACACCGACGACACCTCATTACTCATCGATCATGCCCATCACCTCATCGTCGCACAGCGGTATGGCCTCACGACCCATTTACCAAGTGGTACCGCCTTCGCCTACCGGTGTGGCCTCACAACCCACACGACGGGTAAGCCCCATTACGCTCCATCACGACCCCCCTCACCCTGACGCGCTAACGGACCCTAGACCGACACCCCCTCCCACCATCCCCGCTACTGACACCGAGCTCGCTGCCTTGCAGCTGGCTGATCCGCTTCTCGGAAACATCATACGCACACTCTCCAACCCTGACGAAACTTCCGCACGTCAGGCTAAGCTCGTTGAAAGCTATCTCTTGGTTGACAACTTGCTTTTTCACGTGTCGTCACGTGCGCAGGATGCTGAAGCGGCACCACAATTGGTAATCCCCCGTATTCTCGTACCCACTGTGCTTCCCTTGTTCCACGATCATGCTTATGGTGGCCACTTGGGTTTCAAGAAAGTCTATAGCAAACTCTCACAGCGATACTTCTGGCCCCGTATGTTCGCCGATGCTTACCACTACATCAAATCATGCGTCGAGTGTAATTGTCGAAAACTACAACGAGTCCGTGCTCCTCTACATCATGCACCGACACCCAGACACTCAAGCGATGTGGTCGCCATCGATGTTACGGGTCCACACCCCTGCACAAATTCAGGTAACCGTTACATGCTCACATTTTTGGACCTCTACACCTCATGGCCTGAAGGATACTCGATGCCAGACAAGAGCGCTGCTACCGTAGCATGCATCATCATTGACGATTTTATTCCCGTCACTCATGCCCTCGATCAATTTTAACCGATAACGGAGGCGAATTCATTAACGAACTCATCACACGATTAACCACATTGCTTGGGATCACCCACATCAAAGTCTCTCCTTATCACCCTGAGTCCAACGGACAATGCGAACGCTTTCACCGCACGCTTGCCAACATGCTCGCGTGCTACATTAATCGGGATCATACCGACTAGGATACAAAAATCAACTCGGTCTTATTCGCATATCGAACAGCCATCAATGAATCATCACAATTCACCCCCTTCTTCCTGACGTATGGTAGAGACGCAGTGCTACTACTTGACACGCTACTGCGGCCCCGACGATTGTCATACGCTGACGACCCAGTAACACACGCCACTAAACGCTTGCACCGAGCATTTGTTGCGATGCAACGAAACACTAAAGTGGCACGAGCGCGCAATAAACGCCTCTATGACAGACGCGCAAAAGTCCAGTCTTTCGACACTGGTGACCCTGTCTACTTTTACAACCCCACATTGTCAGCTAATCAGACGCCGAAATTCGCGTCGAATTGGCGGCCTTATTATACCGTGGTCGAGAAACTCTCTCCACTGCGACTTCGCATTAAGGCGCAAGGCCAGACACGTACTCGCGATGTACACGTGAGTAACCTTCGACCCGCATACCCATTCACGGCTTGGGACGAACCCAGAACCGTGCTTACGGGTCGGAATGGCCCACCACAACGACCAATGCGTCATGCGACGCTGGTTGACAAGGGGCCCCCTTCGCCGCCCACCCACGACGACACGCATGCACCTATCAGTGAGGCTAGCACGCCAAGCACTGATAGCTGGGATGCAGAAGATTTATTGCCACTCGCACAAATTAGCCGACCGAGCTAAAGTGCGTGATACACAACCTTTATTTTATGGGCCACTCCTTTCTTTCAGGACGATGGTCCTCGCCCTGCTCGTAGTTGCCTCGGCGATCCTATCAGCCTCGCAAGCTACTGAGGTCCGAAGACCCACGATGGGAGTGGTTTTTATCCCGAGAGGACACATCTCAGTCACACAAAGCACCTGGGGCATAGGATTCACTCTCAACTTCACCTCGATCAACACTTATCTACGTTCCTTGCACAAGGATGTGCGTAAGATGTACAGACAACAGCCAGCAGCAGCACCACACTCCCCATCCCCATCCCCCGACGATGAATACTTCGCAGCTCTCAACCGCGACATCAGATCCCTCGAACAAGCCCATATGGCGTGGTTCCGCCAGCGTCTAAAATCACTTAACCTCCGCCGACTTGCAACTCAAGAGGGAAACGCGCCATAGTCAGTGGTATTGGTAAAATCGCCAAATTTTTATTCGGAACAGCCACTGACGACGACATTGCGCAACTGCAACGCCAGTTGTCCACATTAGGCACGACACAAGAACGAATTTTGACAGTAATCGACGACTCACTAACCGTTATAAATTACACTCGCATTCAGACAGAGATGAATACGGAGGTGCTGTCGCATGTGATTTCCCATGCCCGTGACCTAACCTCAAGTGTGCGCACACTAATGTTTAAAGTAACGGCCTTCCAGGCATCGGTCGCACGGGA